GCTTCACTTTTATGATATTGTTTATAAACATATTAAACTTAGTATTATTGAATTGATAGTAGTCTCCCATTTTTTGTATTATTACGATATCCTTTGCTACCCCCAAGGTATTCATCTCTATCATCTGTAAAAGTTTTTAAGTTTTCTCTTTCTGCAATTGTGTATAATCCTTCTGGAATTGATGAGATATTGATTTGACTTCATTTACTTGTTATATTGACACTCAATTACTCCAGTATGTTAATCAAAGGACCCTTGATTCCGCATTGACCAGCAGTGTCCAGGTCAGCATGTGTGCATGGTTCTGCATTGTTCAGCCTATTTGTCTAAGACTTGTATAAGGATTCTTGCTCTCTTACAAAGTCCCCTTACCTTATTCTTTAGTAAATATGTTGGCTGTTATTATCCCTTGCACTTTGATAATACATTTTAGAAGCTACTTGTCAAATATGACCAAAAAATTTGTAGGAACTTTTACTGGAACTACAATGAGTCTATAAACCACTCCAGGAAAAACTAAAGTTTTTAGGATATTGAATTTTGCCTTCCATGAAGATGGTATATCTTCCTTTTTATGTAGGTCTACTTTTATATCTTTCAGTACAATCTTATAATATTCCTTATACTTTACACATTCTTGTTAGATTTATTTCCAGGCACTTTATAGTTCCGATACCTTTGCAAATGCTATCTTTTAACAATCATCATCATCATCGAGTCGTAATTCACAGGCCAAAAAATTCACCCATTTAAAGTGTAGAGTTCGATCATAGCATATTCACAGAGTTTGTGTAATCATCACCAAAAAAATATAAGTGCAGAACACTTTCCTCACTCAAAAAACAAACAAATAAACCTTTTGCAGACATTCCCCACTCACCCCACACATCCCTCCACCCAACCCCTGGCAGGAAGGGACGGTTGAGTGAGAGTGTGAATAAAGGAATTTATACTCTTGTAAGCTTTGCGACAGACGTTGCCTGGTCTTTGGTCTTTGTTTAACGATTTTGTTGTCTTCCCCTCTGTTGCTGTTTCCTCCCTGGTCTTCAGGCTGCTCTCCCAGCCTGTCTCCTCCATCCCTGTCCATCCCCTGGGCCTTGCCCACATGTCTGTTGCTACCCACTTCCCTCAGCCACTCCCCACCTGAAAGCCAGGCTGATGACCTGAGCAACTCAGAAGCCAGCTTCTGGGCTGTGGCTCTCCTGTGAGTTGGAGAAGGCCTCTTCCAGGCCTCTGGTCTCCTGCAGAGGACTCGGAATGTAAACACAGCTGACCTGATTATCCCCGCCACTTCCTCCTGCATCAGAGTTATCTCAGGTTAATTCAGGGAAGAAGCTAAATTAAGCCTTGAAACCTAGCAGCCTCTGTGACAGGCACTTTGTTGTGCTTGAGTGACTGCCATGATGGTCTTTGGTTATAAGGGCAGCACTAATTGCATCTCTTAAGACTGACCTTGGCCATCTATTCCCTGCCCTGCAGAGATGGGGAGATGCCAGAGACCTTAGAGTGCCTACTGCTCATTCAGCACAGCCTCCCAGGAGCCTGCTCCATGCTAGCACCAAAGAGGAGGGGACTCAAAAGCTCCCCCACTCAGGACTCAGTCTTTCTAAGACAGCAAATAAGAAGCAAGAGACCCTGATAAAGAGGTGACTGGTATTTGGAGAGATTCCCCTTTGGGGCAGAAGAGGGAGTCAGATTCTGGGGTACTTTATACCTTTTTATGACTTTGTGCAAAGTCTGGACCATAGAGTCACCAAATTAAGGGTGGGAAGCATTGATCAGTCCCACACTTATCCACAAGCAGGTGCCACTGAACTGAGAAACTGTTTACTAGGCTGGGGATGTAGCTAAGTAGTAGAGCACTTGCCTGGCATGTACAAGGCCCTGGGCTCATCCCCAACACCACCAAAAAAAAAAAAAAGTCAAATTGTTTAGCAGTATCCACTAAAGTCAAACATATGTGTGCTGTATGTCCCAGCCCTTCCTCTGGATATACGAAGCTCATGGGAAATTGCACACATTTAAATTTTACATCAAAAGAAGCAGGAACTCTGTGCTTTAGACTCTAGTTGAAGTGTGCATGCTGCAGTATTTAAAGGGAAGAGTAACAGTATCTGCAGTTTACTTTGAAATGCACCAAAAAAGAAGGTGGATGGATCCAGGAGGGGAGGGTGAGTGACTAAGCAAGTACAGCCCATAACACCCAAGAGGTGGAAGCAGTGGAGCTGGGGGCGGGGTGAGTGGGTGGACACTGTGTCAAAAAATCTTTACATAAACTCTTGGGTAAATGTATACATGTGTTCACCAGAGACACGCACAGAATGACGCGCACAGAATGTGCACAGCAGCATTATTCGGTAGTCCCAAACTTGAGGCATCCCAGATGCCCATCAACAGTAGACTAGATACGTGAATGGCGAGTGTCTCCATACAGTGAAATACTGTTCATAAAGGAGAAGGAGTGTACGCAGCTCCACACAGACAGGAAGGTGAGTCTTACAAAATAGCGGTGGGGGAAAGAAGTCAGGTTCGTAAAGGAACATACTATGCAATTCCATTTATATAAAATTCAAAGCCAGGCACAACTGTCCTATGGTGTTAGAAGCCGTGTGATGGTTTCAGGAGAAGAGTGAATACGGGACTGGGTGGGGCAGCATGGGAGTCCCCTGGGTGCTAACCAGCTCTGTTTCTTGATCCTAGAGCTAAACTCATGTATCAAGCTGCACACTTCAAGTCTGTGCACTTGTCTGTGTTCATGATGCATGGCAAAACTATTCAAAGGGAGGAAAGAAAAGAGAGAGAGAACCAAACAGAGGCTTATCTTAGCTGACCTGCGAGAACAGCAAGCCACTCAGAGCCTGTCTAGCAAACTCAAATTGTGAAGGATGGGAAACTTGCCTTGGGGACATTCACTCACCAATGTGCACTTCATCTGCACAGCTCCTCTAGGCTTCTTGGCATGCGTGCGTCCATACAGATGTCTGTCCACGTGGGCGGTGTTCCAGATCCTGAGCCATGGGCAAGGCCTGGTCCAGCTCTCTCAGGGTTTGTGTGCACAGTGGGAGGAGCCTGAGATGCTTCATTTGTCAGCCACAGGCTCGCATTCCTAGGCTCTCGTTGCACCCTTCCTGGATATGTTCCCTGAGATGTCATTCACCCCTGCACCGTCAGGAGTCTCCAGAGACACAGAACCAGGAGAAGATATATATGTGTGTTTGAGTGTGTGAATGCGCCTATGTGTGTGTGTGTGGTTGTGTGAAGGGCATGTGTTATAAGCAATTGACTCGTGATTTGGAAGAGCAGCAAGCCCTCACATCTGCAGGCTAAGTCAGCTGCAGGAATCCCAGAAGGGCTAATGGTGTAGTTCCTTCCAAATCCTTCCAGTTTGAAGGTCTGCAGGCTCAGGAAGAGCTGACGGAACTTCAAAAGTTCAAGTCCAAAGACAGGTAAAAGCGGATGTCCCAGCTTAAAAGGAGCCAGGCAGGGGAATTCTCTTACTCAGGGGCATGTCCACCTTCACCATCTGCTTTTCCCAGCCCATCCACTCAATCTCATCCAGAAACATCCACACACACACCCAGAGAGAATAATGTTTGACCACATATCTGGGCACCCTGTGGTCCAGTCTGGTTGTCACATAAAACTAACCACATCCCAGCCCTACAGGATGAAAAGCCCCCTGGGTATACAGAGTCAGAGGAAATGCAGCCCAGGGCCCTGGTGTGTCCACACCCCATCCCTTCAAGTACTTTTTAATATGGTTTGCACTAGTAATTGATAGGAAGGGAGGTTCCAGCTGCCTGCCACGCAGCCTGGATGGCCACCTTAACTGCCCTGAAAAATAAAAAATAATTGTGGTGATTGCAAAATATATCAGAGACATAAGAGAAAAGCCAAAACATGCTGGCAATTTAAAGAATGATGATAAAAAGAAGCACCCAAGTGCCCACACCCAGCTTAGCTGATGACCAGTGTCTTTGAAGGCCAGTGGTGTCCCCAGAGCACCCCTGTGCTTCTGCCTGGAGGAAGCTGCTCTCCTGGGCTTTGTGTTCATCATTCCCTTAATTTTTTATAAAAGTCCAAGTCTACACCAGCGTGGTCTTTGGTCTTGCCTGTATTGAACGTTTATGAATTGAATCAGGTTCTGCTGGGCTGTGCTTTTGCCCCCTGGTGTCTGGGCTTCGTCCCGCTGTCCTGGGTGGCCGTCTGGCTGTTGTGGATAGTCCCTGTGGTAAAGCCTCCATGTGGCCTTCTGCTTACCTCTGAGTGCACCTCTGGGCAGCTCCCAGTCCTCTGCTATGGCACATGAGTCTTGGAGGAGCATTCTTGCCCCTGTCTCCAAGTGTGCAAAAGCAAGGCCACCTCCCAGGTATACAGCTGGGAGAGCAGGTGTAGAACATGCATCTCTTCTCTTCTCGGGGAGCCTGCACACTTCCCACATGGTACCAACAGAGGATCCCACCAGAGGCCGTGAGAGCCTCTGCTGGAACTGCCCCTTCTGTGTTGCCCTTGGGCCTCTAACAGCCTCTCTGGGCCCGTGGATCACTTCCCCTGGGTCCTGCCTGCCCCTGCCCTTATCATGCTAGCATTTCAGAATGGGTGACAGTGACACTCTGCACCCTTCCTGAGCATGCAAGACGGCACATTCCACAGGTATGACACAGCATGTGAGAGTGTGTGACCTTCTCGCCATCGTGGGGGAAACTCCTGAGTGTTCGTATGACTGCTGGGTAGCTGCTGGTTTTCTGTGTCCAGGGAAATGGGAAAACAAGCTCCACAGAGTCACACAGTGTCAGGACATCGCCCCCAGGTCCATAAGCCATGTTCCTCTGACTCTTGGTGGCCAAGAGTGCAGTCTCCAGGCTGGGCTCAGCCTGTGTGCCATCTGTCACCCCATCCTGGGTCTAGCTGCAGCCTGAGCTTGCCAGCCCTGCATCCCACCCAGCCGCAGGGAGGGTGCTGGGAATGATAACCTGTGTGCTGCCTTTTCCCACGTACAGGTTAGCCTGACGCGGAAGATAAAGACATTTGCAACCAAGATGGTAATCACCAGTGGAAATGACGAGGACAAAGGAGGCCAAGAGAAAGAGAGTAAAGAGGAAAGCGTCCTGGCGATGCTGGGCATCATTGGGACCATCCTGAACCTCATCGTCATCATCTTCGTATACATTTACACCACCCTGTGAATGGCCCAGAGCCCCTGGGGGCCTAGGGATGGCCGCGAGACAGGAGTCCTGTGTTCTCACAGGTCAGTGACCAGAGGCCGAGAGGACAGGAAGCTCGACCTACACACCCCGCTCCATCCAATGCACCCTCGAACTTTATAAAAAGGTCACGAATAAACCGATCCTGCTGCAAGGAGCAGACACTAAAGCACAATGAACCCAACAAAACTCATTCACGCCACAAGGAACTCAGCGTCTTTGGCGGGGGGCCCAGGAGGAGGCTTGGAAGACCAGCCTTCGGCACCGGTGGTGAGCGCATGGGTGCAGAAATTCATCATCCCAGATCGCTGACGACACTGTGCTGGAAAAGATGAACGGGGCAGGCGCAGCTCAGCCGAGCATCTCCCTGGACCAGCGTTCCCTCCGGTCTCCTTGAGCAGTCGAGTGCAGTAGACCACGGGGCAGTCCTCCGACAGGCATCCCATTCATTACAAGTGTCTAACTATTTGATACCTGGGAGATGACTTATTTTTCTTTTTTTCATTGGCTTGATGTGTGTATCTGTTCATATCAAGGTTTATAAATATATATTTTTAATAAATGTGCTCTATTTTTTAGCATGAACCAAATATTTGGAGAGGCACTTCTAGATTGATAGTGCTTCCCTGCTTTTAACCGCTTTGCCCCCTCATCTGCAAAAGTTCTTTTCTGTATCCATTCTAGTCCTCTGGTCTCCTGTTGAATCTTGTACCTTTGCACTCTTGTTCTCTCTCTCTCTCTCTCTCTCACTCTCTGGTCAGGAGAACATTTTTCCATACTACCAACCATGGTCTTTGTTGGTGCATGTTGTAAGAGTGTCCATTGAGCGGCTTTTTGTTATACTGGAGATATAAAATGATCGTGGGCATGCAGGCCATAGATGCACCCTATCTGTACCGAAAATTATGCATGAACATTGGCTGAGTGATCGATGAGCTGTAAAGAAATTTCAAAGGACTACCGTTGAGGAAGAGGAGTGTGACTCTAATGGCAGATGGACTCCTGGACAGAACATTCCAGCGTCTTACTGGCCACATTATTATCTCATCCTCGTAACCATTCGTTTATCAGGTTTGGGTTTCCAGGACTGAGAGGTGGGAAGACCCGAGGTGGGGGCTCAGCACTGGGTGCCCTAGCCAGACGCCCCGGTCCTCTTTAAAGCTGGCAGGGTGTAAATGACATACACCCTCCCTATTGCGAGGACACCCTTGGGACAGCAGCCTTTCAAGGGCAGTGTAAGGGGTTCCGTGATTGCCCTAACAGATTGCTGCGTTTCTTGAAGTTCTTGGTTTACACCTAACTGGAGCTACTTCCTCCCTGGCAGGTGGAGTGATACAGATTCGCCCTCTTCTGGTTGCCCGTGTTGAGCCCTTGCTTGCCTGCAGTGCCTGGCCTTAAAGTGAGGGTCCCTATTCTTTCTGCCAGTGGGCGGGGAAAGCTGATGCCAAGGAGGTCTCTTCCTCCTGTCTTCCCCTCCTTCCTGAAATTCCACCAATAGAGAACCATTTCTTGGGCTCTGCCAAGGGACCAGACTCTTATAAAGCAAATGCCCCTGAGCACCTTTCCCTGACACTAATTGATCAGGTACCTTCTCTTCTCCTCCAGAAGGAGGGAAGCTAATGTGTGTTTAGGCCACACTGTGTGCCAGGCACTTGGTATGCAAGTCACGGAACGCTCATCATAGCCGTGTGAAAGAGGGAGTCTTTCCCCATGTTGTAGAGGAGAGATTGGGAGACTCCCCAAGATCCCGTGGCTGAAGTGGAGTCAGAACTCCAACCGCCTTCCATCTGGTTCCTTAGCTGAGTGAGGCCCAGGTGGCTGGAAAAGAGAGGAGGTGAGGAGGTCCCAGGAGGGTCAGGACTCAAAAGCCCATCCTTCTGCTGAGGTCCAGCTCTGCACACCTCCCTCCCCCTCCCCAGTAAAAGTAAACAACCCCTGGGAGCTCCTCAGGCTCTAGCAGGATGTCCCACAAATCAGGACAAAAGGGTGGTGAGAAATAAAAGAACTGTCAGGGAGAGGGGCTCTCTGACCAGTGTGTGATTCTGGAAAGACCATGTGAAATTCCAACATTGAACAGATAAACAATAAAGGTGCAACGGAAAAAAAAAAAAAAAAAAACTCCTAGTGCCCTTTGTTTTCGTCCAGGTGCCTTTGCCTATCCCTATTTTTAATTTTATTTAAAAAAAAATCCAAAAACTTGAATGTGATTCTTTTAACACATTTGTTTGGTTAGACCTGCAGAAGCCCCCGTGATTTTTTTCAATGACACTAATTTCGGAATTTATTGAGGGGAACAACTGTCTTTGCAATCCTCAAAACAGCTCCCTGTGGTTCTTCCAGGTGGTCTGATCCACAGTCCCCACCAGTGCATGCCAAGCCCAGCAGGGACCAGGAACACAGCACTCACAGCCCCCATGTCTGCAGCCCTGTGAGGAGGTGGAGAGAGAAGCTGCCCAGGGCTGGCTGGCCACCAGCTGTCACCATCTACCTGAGCCCCAGCTGGCCTTGACCAACTATGGCAATATGTAACATGACACCAGGGCTCTATCCCAGCATTTAGACTCTCCTGTGGGACACAAGACAATCCCACCACACCCGTGTACTTTTTCTCATGTTGCCAGATGCAGGAAAAGTCTCTGAAAGGTGAATTGGCTTTTCTGAAGCCACGTGAGCCACGTGCTGGCACAGCAGAAGCAGATCACCCCCACAAGAGAGGGAGAGTGTCAGTACCCTGCTGGCCACAGCTGTGGGCTTGATCTCTCTCAGAGCGGGCTGGATGGTTGGGTCTCACAGTAGATTCCCCTGAACCCGCCACTTCTTTGCCACAGCCCAGCTGACCCGGGGAGTGTGGCTGAACTGATGCTCCTCACTGCTACTCCTGGAAAGCCACTCAGAAAGCCAGGGTCCCTGCAATGGTGGGTCAGACATGTGTCTGGCCATGTACATGGTGTAGTGGTCTTGACCTGCAGGGTGCTTGTCCTGTGGCCAGAAGCCACCTGATCCTGAATCCCATCTCTGCCTCTTGTGATTCGAGTGACCACAGGCACCTCACCATCCTGGGGTGTCTCGAGGGGCTCTGGGAGGTCCACGTGACAGAACCTCCTGAGGAACAGCACCTGGCCTGGCCCCGGTAAGTGCCCAGGGAGCAGAGAGCTCCAGCTGCCACATGAAGGCAGTCGGGGCACTGTCGGGAAGGTACTGCAGAAGGTGCGGCAGGTCTGTGATCCCGTGTGTGTTTGCCCCCAAATCCCATTCTGTAGGCATTTCCTCTCCTTTGTCTGATGTAGACGGTGTAACCCAGGATGGTGAGCCGACCCACCTGGGTTGCAGGCACCCTGTTCTCCACTTTTGCAGCCAAAAAGTGACATTTAAATCCTCAGGGAAAGAGCCTCAAGTGGCCTGAGGCTCAGTGGCGGGGAGAGGACGCCAAGGACTGTTAAGTTCATTATGAGGGATCTGGACCCTGCGAAGAGGAGCAGGGTCTTAGGGTCCCGCTGCTTCTACAGGATGGGAGGGGTGGGGCAGAGACACCCTCCTCCTAAGATTGTTTTTTCTTTTGTTTTAACCAACAGAGCAATTGAGACCCAACTGACCCAAAGTCATATAGCTTGAAAGTCAAGGTTTATAGTGGCTCTAAAGAAATAATAATAAAGCTCCTGATTCCTGATGGATTGCAAGGTTGTCCTGTTGCCTGTGTTTCTGTGATTTCAGAACAGTTTTGAGGATCCTAAGCCGGCAGGAGTATGGTACCCAGGCCCTGAGGAGCACACCCTTGGGGCCCTTTCTACCTGGCTCCTCCAGCTCCCAGGGCACCCTCTCCTGCAGGGAGGCCAGAGGGCACCTCATGGAGGTTCTACAAAGGAGGAACGTGACCAACTCAGTCCTTCCTTGCCTTTCTGTAAGACACATGCGTGATCCTGGGTGAAAGAGAATCATGATTTTAAAATGGGTCCAGTGGCGCACGCCTGTCATCCCAGCCACTTGGGAAGCTGAGACAGGAGGATCTCATGTTCAAAACCAGCCTCAGCAACTTAGCAAGACCCAGAGAGACCCTATGTCTAAATTATATATATATATATATTTAAGGCTGGGGATGTGGCTCAGAGGTTATGTGTCCCTGGGTTCAATCCCCAGAACCAAAAGAAAATTTTAAAAGAATTCCAATTTTAGAAAATTCTATACAAATCCTTTTTTAAAAAAGAAAATCATCCCCAGATCTAGACCTGCTTGTACTTGGTGTGCAAGTTACAGACCTGGTAGCTTGTGATCTGTTTGGCGAGTCCATTCCCACATTTTAAATTCCTTTGCCTTTTTGGCAGGAACACACTTTCCTTCAATGTCCCTGTATTCCTTGTCATTTTACGGTGGACAGCATCCCATATTTCTGTGCTACGTCCAAAGGCAGTCAAGGTGACATCCTTGAATGGACATCCAGACACCTCACCATCAGCAGTAGGTCCCATGCTGTAATTTACAACATGGCCTCACGCTGTGACCACTGCTCCCAGGTCACTTTTTCATGAGCATTTATGGGCACACTTCCATTCAGTGGCAGTGTCTGTCTGAGGTTCCCTTTAGATGGACCATCACAGATTTCCCTGCTCTCTTACAATGGGACCTTAAGGTTCTTGTCCGTGTCTTGCCATAATTCAGCCTGTTGTTCAAAGCACTCCAAGTGCTGCCCTTGCCTCCCCCAGGATCGCTTCAAGTGGTCTCAAGTGTCATTTTGCAAAAAGCCACGAGGATGGCAGATGGGATGTCCCTTAGCAACACACACCCAAGTGACCCCTGGTTGGCAGCCCTGGAGTGGGACTGCTGGGCAAATGATCGGGCAAATTTGGAGCCATGGATCCCAGGGAGCCCACCTGGGCCAGGAGCCTGGTTCGGAGACCCCAGCATCTGGCGGTTGCTCTGGTCACTTTTTCCACCTGGGTCTCCTCATCTCTGGAAAGGCGAGGCCATCTGGGTCACAGGTCATGATGAAATGAAATGAGACAATGCAGAGCGTTCCCAGGAGCCATGGTGCTGCTGGGGGGGGGGGGCCCTGTGCACGTGACAGACAGGTGGGCAAAATGGAGGGAAGTGCTCCAGGTAGTCAGTATCTCGCTGTCTCTCTCCTCGTCCTCCCTCTCTTCTTCCCTCCTCTTCCTTCCCTATCCTGGCCCCGTTCCCTTCCTCTCTCTCCTCTCTTCCCCTCTAAACACAGCTCTCCTGGAAGACCCCACAGGTCCCACCTCCCTAAAGGCAGGACTCTGATGGCACACCTCCAGAAAGTCCCCTGTGGGCTGGATGTCCCTCTGACACCGCGGCATGACGAATCTTCCCTCCCCTGGGAAGCAGATGGCATGAACAGACTGCTCATATTTTCTCTTGTTCATAAACATGACACAAAACTGCACATACCTTTCCCAGAAGATGAGCCGCCTGTTGCCGTGAGAAACAAGGCCATGTAATATCTGCACATCTCCTCCTCCAAGATGGTTCAGAGCTATGCTTCTTTGCTTTTCCTACTTCTATTAGAGAACAATGTGGAAATTTCCAGAATGAGATCAAAGAGCCTGGTTTGGATATCTCCAGGAGACATTACAGGTCATCCCACAGCCCGCTGGGTCAGTGGCCCACCAGGGACCTGGAGACTTGGCTTCAAAGCTGGGGTGATCCACTCTGTCATGGCCCCTACTCACCAGCTGGACAGTACCCATCCACATCCTGTTCAGGTGATGGAGACCACCACCTCCCAGCCAGGAGCTGGAAGGTGCAGGGCATTGGCTGAGTGGTCTTCAGCATTGTATTAGTGATAAATCAAAGGACAGCATATTTTGCTAATCTCGTCTCATTGGGACCAAAGGAATCAAAGTTAGAACAATCACAGTGAGGAGGATCAGCCCTAACTCTGAAAAGATCCAAGGCCTGCCCTTCCTCTCTCCCTCATCCCCAAGCTACCATCTTTCTCTTAACCAGGAAGTGGCCATTTCTGCTGTGGAAGGCCAAAGGCATGACTGACCCATCAGCATGGACCAGTCACAAATCAGAGCTGCTGAGGTGTGCCCTGTCCCTCTCACTTTGGGACCTCCAGCCTGGAAGACTGCCTCGGGGTACTTCCACACCCACCTGCATATCCCAGGATAGTGGGGTCACCGGAGTTCACTGGAGTCCACACATAGTTGGCGTGCCCAACCCCCTGTCACTTCCCAAGGAGACTCATCTTTGTACATCTTGGGACAAAATCCAGGCAGTCCACCTCAGCACAGAAGTCCCTCCCTCAGGTGTTAACGCCCTTCCCTTCTCGCCATCCCATGAGCCCCTTGACCCATGACCATGTTTGGTCTCTTCTTTCTTTAGTAGCTTTGTTCCCAGTTCTAAAGAGTCCAGGTTGGTGTTCTGAGTTCTAAAGATTCTGCCATAGGACTTTGGGTTCTGAAGTTCTGAGATCCTCAGTATGAAAGAGTCGTGTGTACTCGGCTCCAAGCGGGGGCTCTGGTTTGATGCCGGCTTGGCCCCGGGAAGATGCCTATCACCTTTTCCTCCAGAAAAGTCAAGGATGATTCCATTGCCTGTGGCATGTGAGCAATTATTGTGTGCAGAAAACCTCTCTCACTCCTACCAAGGACCCCACTTCTGTTTCTGAGGACCAGGAGGTCACCCAGAAATCAAGAAGAGATTTGAAAACAGAAAACGAGCACTGAAGCCCCAACTCTATCACTTACTGACCACTGATCTTGGACTAAATCCTGAGCGTTTCTGAACCTTCATCTTCTTGTCATGACTTCTGTCATTCTGGTCCTTGATGCTGTGTGAGTCACTTTATGGGTAATAATATTGGGGGAGCTGGCTGTATGCGCCTATCAGCTGTTAATCATGGTAATTAAAAAGACAGATGAAAAACAGATAAACAGATGTGTGTTTAATATTTTCTACTAATGAATAATGGTCAGGATACAAGATTCAGACAAGCATTTGACAAAGTCTAGTACCCATTCATGATTCTTAGGAATGTCTTAGCAAACTAGAAAAACTTAGGGAACTTTCTCAGATTCAATCATATATCAAGAGGCTTTTACTGTCAAAGTTGAGTGCAACGTCTTCTGAGATGGTGGCCGAGGTCAGTCTAATTAAAAAACTAAATGTTAGGAACTTAGGAGGAGAGATGTGTCAAAACACAGCTCAGTAAGACTTTCAGAGATTTGAGATTCAAGCTCTGTGTTGTATCCACAAGAAAAACAAGCAGAGGAGTAGATTTTGCAATGGCAAATGTATGTGTTGTGGCTAATAGGGCCGGATGGGATGATCTTGTGATGGACTTCAACCTCTTTATTCCATGTGATCCTCAGCAGTGGAGTGGATGGAGCTGGAGACTGTCCACCAGGAATTAGCCACATTCTTCTTCAGCTACAGGCCAAGACTCACATCCCCCTTGCTGCAGAACTTCTGCACTTCTGCAGAAGCAGCTAGAAGAGCTCATGCTGTGTCCCGGATCTCTGCACCAGCTGCAATAATACCCAAACTGGGCAAAGTAAATGGGAACATTTCCCAGCTCATCATACGAGGCCAACGGCACCCTGATACTAAAATCCGATAAAGATTAAAAAAAAAAAAGCATCAGTATCTCTCATAAATATTTAGTCAGCTTTTTCATCCCTGACACCAAAAGACCTGACAAGAACCACATAGGTGAAGAAAAGTTTATTTGGGGCTTACGGTTTCAGGATCTCAGTCCACAGATGGTCGACTCCACATCTCTGGGCCTGGGGTGACATTGAATCTCATGGCAAAAGGGTGTGGCAGAGGAAAGCAGCTCAGGACGTGACAATCAGGAAGCAGAGAGCTCCACTCACCAGGGACAAAATATCCATGTCCCGGTCGGTCACCTCCTCCAGCCACACCCTATCTGCCTACAATCACCACCCAGTAAATCCATTCAAGTAGATTAATGCACTCATTGGGTTATCGATTAGATTACTGATTAGGCTCTCCTAACCCAATGTCACACCTCTAGACTTTCTCACACACGAGCTTTTGGGGAAAGCTTCATATCTAAACCTAATAGACATAGATGCAAGTCATATTAAAATTAGCAAATGCGTAAAAAGAAATAATAAACTATGACAAAGTGAGGTCTAGCTCAGAAATACAAGGTTGATTTAACAATTGGAAATCAGTCAGCATAGTTCGCCGTATTAACCAAATGAAGGAAGAAAAGCATGAAATCATCGTAATAGATGCAGAAAAAGCATTTGACAAAATCTAGTACCCATTCATGGTTTTTAAGAATGTCTTAGCAAACTAGAAATACAAGGGTACTTTCTCATAGTTAGATGGTTTATACATGCTAGAGACGGTCTAAAAAGAAAAACTATAGCTAACGTTATACCTAATGATCAAAAACCAAATGCTTTTCCTCAAAATGGAGCCAAACACTAATGCAAAAAAAAAGTATATGAAGCAATTAAGAATAGATTTGAATAACATATACAAGACTTGTGCATGAAAACTAGAGATATTTGCTAAGAAATATTCTAAAAGATCTGAATATA